TGGACTGTGGCATTGAGACAGACAGTGGTATTGATGATGACATGGCGTGCCAGAAAATACCAGTAGAGGCTGACTTCTTGTATGCATATTCCACGGCACCAGGTAAGAAAATGGCAGATAACGAATGTTATATATAGATTTTAAATGAATTCTGCTATGACTAATAGAATTAAACAAAGTGTGTTTCAGTGACTAAGATTTTGATATCCTAAAAACTGGCTAACTTGTCTATATTTTACGGCACCATAGCCACAGAGAAATCTCCAAAGGTTATATAGACTCTCAATGACCTGAATACCAAAGGGTATCCTATATGGCAGCAGAAGTCTGATCTTCATCCACTTGTTAGAAAAAAACAGATACATTAAATCTCCCACTCTCTTATCCACAGTTTTTCTTTTTGCATTTTCAGTCTGTCAACTGTGGTCTGAAAATTCCAGAAGTTAACGGTTCATACGTTTTAAATTTTATGACCTTCTGAGTAGTGTGATAAAATCTCAGTCCATCCCTCCTGGGACATGAATCATCCCTTTGTCTGGTATTCTCATGTCCTTAGTCACTCAATAGCCATGTCAGTTATCAGACTGATTACCAACCATCACAGTGCTTGTGTTCAGGTTCAAGCAGTAATATTGGCAATTCAGATGTGCCAAAGAGAAGCCGTGAAGTACTTTTTTTAGTGAAAAGATGAAAGTTCTTGACTTCATAAGAGGAGAAAATAAATCATACACTGAGGCTTATAAGATACATAAAAAGAATGAATCTCTCCATGAAATGATGAAGAAACTAAAAGAAATTCATGCTAGTTTTGTAGTCATACATCAAACTGGAAAAGTTACGGTCACAATATAGGGTGAATGCTTAGTGAAGATGGAAAAGGGATTGAGTTTGTGGGCAGAAGACCTGAACCTATGAGTAAGTGTGTACATCGGAAAAAATGCAATATGTAGAAGATTCGGGCACCCACTGGAGACTAGGAGCATCCCCTGAAGATAGGAAGGGACTAATGCATGTTTTCTGGGAGTTTTTTGGAAGATGGGAATTAAGGAAAACATTACTAATTGAGATAAGGTAGAAGGAGGAGAAAATAAGATAAAAGTATTATCAGAGTATGCTGCTAACCTCCACTTTTTTGTGATTTAACGATATCCTCCTATAAATAACTGTTGATTATATACCTGTTCACTTATAAACTTAACTCGGGTATCAAATTTGGGAACATAATAAAATTATTTTTAAGCAGTGTTGCATTTTTAAATGTATTCAATATGGTTTCCTTTATTCTCCAAGTACCTTTTTAGGCAAAGCACTTCTAAATTAAATGCAATGGGTGTAATAATTAATAACAAAAGAATACCATATATGATTTTCCCTGTTTGGTTTTTCTGTTTATTATACTTGATTCAGATCCCCCATAGATAAACTAGTCATATTCTTAACTGTGTAAGCATACATAAGCAATTTATTTCTTATCTAATATTAAAATAAGGTGATGGGCATGGTAGTGCATGCCTGTAATCCCAGCACTTGGGAGGCTGAGGCAGGTGGACTGCTGCAAGTTTGAGGCCAGCTTGGGCTACATAGTGAGTTCAAGGCCAGCCTGAACTACATAGTTAGACTCTGTCTCAAAAAATAAAATAAGCTGAAATCTGATTGAAGGCAAGGCAGGCATCAGAACCACTGAGCTAGATCCCCAGCTCCATGCAACTTATAATGGTTCATTTTATATATCTTTGTTTTTGCATCTTCTTATTTTTGGTGTGTTTACTTGTTCTTCACTGTGAGAAAGGAGATTCTTGTTCCTCCCTGTGAGAAGGGGAGCCCAGAGAGTAATATTTTCAGTAATGCAATAGTGTACAATTCTTTCCCAGCTCAAAGCAGAAGTGCATGCCCAAGGGCTGGGGATGTAGCTCAGTGGTGCCACACCTGCCTCTAAAGTGCAAGGTCCTGAGTTCGATCCCCAGTACTGCAAAAAAAAAAAAAGTGTAGGCCCAATACATTTTTCCCCTCTGGTATCATTTCTCCTGAAACCAAAGGTGTCATTTTTTTCCTTTTATGGCTAATAAGACCTGTGGAACTTTATGCTTATTTCTATAGTTGCGGTTATGTACTAATTTACAGAATCAGCTAAAATCAGATATCCATGATATTTGGCTATATTTTTCCTTGTAGGTTACTATTCCTGGCGAAATTCAAAGGATGGATCCTGGTTCATTCAGTCACTTTGTGCTATGGTGAAATTGTATGCACACAAGCTTGAATTTATGCACATTCTTACTCGGGTTAACCAGAAGGTAGCAACAGAATTTGAATCCTTTTCCTATGACTCCACTTTTCATGCAAAGAAACAAATTCCATGTATTGTGTCCATGCTCACAAAAGAACTATATTTTTATCACTAAAAAATGGTTGACTTTTTTTAAGTTTGTATGCCAAGTGAGGAAACAATATAAATGATACTGTATTTCCTTCTCTAACTGAATACTTCAGATGGTAGTTTGAATCATGCCATTTGCCCAGCAAAAGAACCACAGTCCAGATACCTCAGGCTCAAAATCAGGTAGTTGAAATTGAATTTAATTAGGAATAAATAAATATGGATATTGGAATAATCTTGTGAAAAGATTATTGTAATTTTACACATTTCATAATTAGCAACATTTTGTGATGATATGCTATGAATTTTCAAGTAATTATGAGGAACTTAAACATTGCAGTAATGAATTTTAATGATCCTCCCCCTACACACTTGAGACTGTGCACTCTAGTAATTGTTGTACTGTAGAAATGATGATGTGGACTAATGTGTCTTAGACATTGAGGATCCATGGGCATGGTCAAAGGTTGAAGCTTTATTTTAGAACTGATGTATGAAAAGGAATCAAGTGCATTTTAAAATCACTTACAGCTCATGATTTTTGTGATGTTTGTTTTGAGAATGTATTTCTTATAAAAATAGTTATATTTACTATTGAGAAAGAAAATATTTCAGAGAAAGTATGAGTAAACTGAGTTGATTCTTTTAAGGCTAACATGAAATATAAGTGGAGAGACAGAGTCATAACTATAAGGTGCTAAGATCTACCAGCATGTTTCTTCTCATTTGTTCTTATGCAAGTCAGGTAAAATTTACACACCAGCAAAATATCTGAAGATCTACTATGTAAAAACTTCAAACCATTACTAACTAGGATGATATGAAGAAATTCTACAGGAACATACTAAAATATCATCTGCACAAGACACAGTGAAATGTAAAAAAAAAAAACAATAAATGGACCAGCTGGGCAAGCTGTAATTTGAGAGAAGATGGTTTGAGCCTGAGCAAAGATGTGGCTCTGTCCAAACCAGGCAGAGCTACAGATGCCACTTCAGAAAAAGATGATTGCCAGATGATTCCTTCAGGTGCATACAGTGTGTGTAGAAGATAACTCCCAAGGGATGTGAGAAAGTAAACCAAGTGAGAAACTTCTAAAATGAAGCTTTCCTGAAGAGTCACAAAAATTGTAATATTCATTGTAGTATAATTTGTAAGCATGCTGTTTTCTGTTGAAGTTTACAGTCGGTGGGAAAATAGTGGTAACATTTTGTACTGTTACCTGAAATGAAAGGACCACAGCACATAGGAGTTTAGAAGCATCCAATCAGAGCCTCTCTGGTGCATGTGGGCAAACTACAGGCCAGAGCTTAGCCCCAGCCAGGGAGGCTGGGCTCCAAGCTTCCTTGGTTCATGGATGTGTTCAGCATTGCTGACTGCACCCATGTGCTTCACCAGCTTTCAGACCAACCTAACGTTTCACGAGAACTTTCTTTTGGCGCAAAGAAAGGAACTGACATTTATAATTGACAACTATTTGTTTTGATAAGATCTATTAACTTTTTTTAGGTAAATGTAGCATGTAATGATATCCTAAGGTGGGTTTTTGTGTGACAATTTTTGTAAAGTTTTTTAATTTGCATTTTTATTTCAGAACATAAATTCAAACTTAAATTACCAGTGTGTTTGAGTTTTGTTGTTGTTCTTGTTGATGTTTTTGATAGTGTCCTACAAAATGGATGTTAAAATATTTTTAACCAAGAGCTTGATTTGGACGAGGCAAAGAGGATGCATCAGTGCCCTGATCTAATATTTTGAGGTGCTCACAAATGATCAGACCGCTTATGTTTCCCAGTCCTCTCAGAAGGTCCTGTTCTAAAGTGAACAGAATGCCAGAAAGGATATGAGGTTTGCATAGATCTCAGTCCCCAAATATGATCATAGTTTTGTATTTAAAACATTTTCTACCACATAAATTTTTAATAGGGCTAATGGGGAGAAATGGGGGGGGGGGCGTATTTTACAAACTACGGATGTTTATTGATGGTATCCCCTGGGAGGTGGAGTGTGACAAGAAGATGCCTCCTTTTTCCTTTAGGCACTTAGAAATGAAACATGGGCAAGGGACTGGGTGTCGTTTTAATTTTCCAATATTTCTGTGATGAGCATATTACTTTTAAGTCAAAAACAAATTGTAACAGGGAATTCCTTTTACCAAAGAGCAGAGGAGCACAAATGACTTAGATTAGCCCTTTTAAAAATAGTACTCTGTAATGGAATAAGAAAAAGCTAACCTCTTATAATCTCCCTGCTGTGTAATGGACTCTCAATATTAAAAGGAAAGGGGCCAACAACTCAAGAGAAAAATGGCCCAAGGGGATTAATAGCCGCCAAAAAGGAGTACACATCCCTTAAACTCAGGTAAAGAATCTCCATCATAATAAAAGGAATGTAGATAACACTATCAAAAATTTCCAAAGTTTGATAAGATATGCTGTTCTCAAAACTGAAAGCTCCCCTGTGGAGAAAATTGAACTTTTTTTTTTCCCTCCAAGTACTGGGGATTAAACCAGGGCTTTTGCACTGAGCTACATCCCTATCCCTTTTCTATTTTTTTTTTTTGGTACCGGGAATCGAACTCGGGACCTTGAGCTTGCAAGGCAGGCACCAGAACCACTGAGCTAAATCCCCGGCCCTCCCTTTTCTAATTAACTTATAAGGAAGATAGGTTGAATATGCTGGTACGTCTGCGTATAGACTATCCACATATGGAGAGAGAGGGAAGTACCTGGAAGACAAAGTGAATTGAAAGAGCTGTTTATTTTTGTTTGGGAAAGATTTGAGCATGAATAAATGCCAATAGCAGGTGTATCAGGGTTCTGTAGAGGAACAGAATAAATATAAAATATTGTTTAATTATACAAAGTGATTAGGTAGGCTTACAGGATCAAAAGTTAAAGAATCAGAGGTAGAAGACTACAAAATAACCATCTGCATCCTAGAAACCAGAGAATTCAGTAGCAGTTGAAGGTTCAAAACCTGGAATCTCACTGTAAACTGGTGTGAGTCTGTCAGAGGCTAAAGAGTTTGTGCTGGAAGGTTGAAGAAGCTAGACCAAAGTCCAAAGTCAGTGGCTGCTGGAATTCCTCCCAAAAAGGGCACACTTCTTTCTTTCCCTTTCTGTCCATGCTGTAAGCCTATTGGTTGGTGCCACCAACATCCAGGGTGAGTCTTCCCTCTTCAGTTTGCTGGCCTACATATCATTATCCACAGCACATCCAAAGCTTTACTAATCTACTAGGTGGTTCTTAAGGCAAGTTGAGTATTACAATCACAACAGGGATCCAAATAAGAGAAAAAAAGTAACTGACAGTATAGGCTTCCTGAGAACTCTAAGAAAGGTAAATCAGCGTATCTGGGAGTACAGAAGGAATAAGAAAGAAAGAAAGAAAAACATGTGAAAGGTAGATGTGAATGAAGCTACATTTGTACTTCTTGTGGCAGGAACTCCTTTATGATATTTTCTCTATTTTCTGTGAAGCAGAAGACAAGGAATTATCCAAAGTTCAAGAGGTAATAGTGGAATTAGGAGTTAGAAGGGTAAGGAAGTTTCGAAATCATCATGGTTGGGGGTGAGCTGCCCAGAGAAGATTAGTAAGATTGCTGGGCAGTGTTAACAATTACGAATGTGGAGTCCTGTCAGCCTGTCCCATTGTGTGATTTTATCTAGTGGCACTCAGCTGCTTGGGTATTACCTGTACTGGCTTTATCCAACATTGAGCTTGTGCCTTTATTTATTAAAAAAAAGCCACAGATACCAAGGTTCAGCAAAAGTATTTACTGAATTGAGGAACTATGGAGTCTAAGCTGGGTAGATAGGGAAGAGAAATTAGTGTGTCTAATTCTAGGCAATCACAGTGTCCCAGATCTGGTGGCTGTAATGAATTTGAAGATCCATTTTAGTGGGAGGAGTGAAAGAACAGGACTAAAACTATGAGCAGTTATGGTCAGAATTAGAAGTAGAGCGTATTTCAGCATGACAAAGATGAGAAGAATGAAGTAGGGTGAAAGACCATTTTGGAAAAGAAGTTACGTCACTGAGATGACATTGTCCTTCTTCTGGCCAACTGGCTATAAATTGGGGGTTCCCATAGTTCCCTTCTTAGGTTCACTATGCTACAACAACTTAGAACTGTTATTTATATTCCCCAATTTACTAAGTAATACAGCCAAGGAACAACTGCATAAGAAAGATGCATAGGGTAAAATGTGGTAGTGAGGGGCACAGAGCTCCATGCTCTCTGTGGGTGCAGCAACCTCCAGTACTTTGATGTGTCCACCAATCTGGAAGTTATCTGAATCTCATTGTTAACAGTTTTCATAGAACTCAATTGCTAGCAACCCTGCCTTCCTCCAAGGCTGGGGCAGGATGGAAAGTTCCAGTCTCCTATTTGATCTGATGATCATTCCCATTCTGAGATTATGTAGAAGGCCCACTCTAAATCACCTCATTAGCATAAACTGTGGTGTTGTATTGGCGAAGTGCGAGCCGAAACATACAGACAGGTCGTCCAGAAGAATGGAAGATGCACCAGAAGTTTTGGAGGCAAAGTGTACAGTTTTATTTTTAACGCCAGCGGGTCAGTCTGGTACTTTCCTCAAAGAGACGGACCCCTCTGGGGTGGAGCAGGGCAGGTTATATATACTCTCGGGAGAGGGCCGGGCTTGCAGGAGTTAAACACTTTGCGTTGGTTACATAGAGCCCAAATCATCTGGGCCCAGCAAGTTCACGGGTTATCAGATATTACTGACAGCAAGCTCAGCTACAGAGCCACATCTCATTTACATTTGGCAGGGAGATAAAAGAAACCAAGAAAATTCCTGAGATGCTTGAGAGGAAGTGTCCGGAAATCCGGACACATTGAGGGAATGGGGGAAAACTTTCCACCAGTAAGTTTGGCTTTAACTGCAGAGAAACACATTCCCGGTTGAGTGTGATCTAAAGGAACTTGTTAGGAATTACAAAACTCACTCCTATTGTTGAGGAAATTCTAAGGCTTGCAGGAGCTCTGTGCCAGGAACTGGAACAAAGATCAAATGTATTTATTATTGCACAGGTATATATCAAAGTCTTACAACTAAGACTGTATCTCTGTACCTTTAGGCTGGGTATACAATGATTATATTTGGTAGCTGAAAATAACTGGCCAGAGCAGAAGCAGCTTAGTAGAGGTGGAAGATGGAGAAAGGAGGAACCCATGTGGGAGGTGGTACAAATGATCAAGCTTTGGAGAGTTGGAAGATGACTGCAGAGGAGAAGCCAAGGGGACAAAAACCTTATGTTCTGTAAAACATCTGTCTAGTGATATCTAACAATCTTTTACATGAGCTTATAATTCCATAGCCTATATTCACTTATAATATTTAATTGCTTGACCTTCACATTTTCCTTACCTATTTTTAAAGCTTATGAAAATAACTGATGATTCTTCTTAAAAACTAAAAAATATATTCTTGTTTCCAATTTTTAACCAGAGCATAATATAGTCAAAAGCACAATGCAGAAATAGCAGTACCCTACTTCCAGCCAATGCTGCTGAATCTGTAATCTGAACATTTGCCTCCAGGGCCATTGTTGCTGATGCAAATTCTGTATAAATGGAAAGGACTGAAAAGTAACTTGCAAGTGGTTTCTGTTGGGAGATTTCATTTATAAATCTGCAAGAAGGAGTTTCTTGACTGCTGATGTGGATGATGGAGGCAGTCTGTGGCCAAAACCTTGCTTTGCTCCTGTATAGTCTTGCCCTGCCCTCCCTACTTCCTGCCCCACCCCTGCTGTGAATTTGAGACCATGGAATGAGAATTGATTCAGATTTGTGTGACATTTGCATATCACTGGTGTGACTCACCACCCCTTTAACTCAAACCCAGGCTTATATAAAAATTAAAATGACTTGGCCTGTGGATTTAGCTCAATGGTTCCACCACCTGCCTCACAAGCAGCAAGTGCAAGGTCCCGAGTTTGATCCCTGATACCAAAAAAACCCCCAAAGAACAAAAACCACAAAATTAAAATTACTTAAATATCTAAAAATCTGCTTTTAATATACAGACTGATTCTCTTTTTCATTTTCTACTACTCTGTATCCCTATTGATAAACTTCATAGCTGCCTGAAAATTTTTTCAAATATCTTTTCTGCATGTATATAGTAAATTTAATGTTATTATAGGTGGCTAAATTAGATAGAAATTAATACAGAGTCAGAGAGGGACTGGGCTCTCAACAAAGTTAGCAAAAAGAATAAACACATCAGAATTGTGGCTAGAGGTGCATCTGAAGAAGACCAGGCCTCAAGATAAAGGTGCAATAGCCAGACCTACATGCCTTCCTAAGGGATAAACAATAATTTGGAATTATGCTATAATTAGCACCAGCTGGTCCAGGAAGTCCAGCTAGGCATTGTTGGGCTTGACTTGGTTCTGAAATGGTTAATGGATATGCTCTTCAATTCCAAGCTACACTTTGACAAGATACAAAAAAACCATGCAGGTGCTGTCTCTGCCCAACAAAAGCGGTGCTTTCTCAGACTCAGAATGCAGAATGGGATATTTCCAGTATAGAGATAACAACTACAAAGTACAGCATCTTTTCAATGCCAGTTCACCTGAAATATCCA